ATTTCAGAAGTTAAACTCATCAATCAATCCTTTTATTTATGTGATAGACCTGCATTTAAGATGAATATTTATCATAAATTAAAGGTATCTGACAGTATTAGACATGATATTATAAAACATGCTTTAGTTAAGGAGTTATTGATACTTTAATGCAAAATAATAATATAAAATCTTAATAAAAATACAAAGATAGTTTAAGTACTAAACATTTTCTTATATACAAATATTCATCTCTTATGTAAGTACATTCATAATATATAAAAAGCAAACATTATTTTTGTAAAACAAGCATGCTTTCTTACCCTTTATATATGCTAGGTAAATCTTTCAAACATATTTGTTTTAAAGATTTAAAGGGACACATAATAGTACAAACAAATTTTTTAAGAAATTTTACAACCATTTAGGCCTCAAATAATTAGAGATGACCCTTAATACATGTTTCATGCATTTAGCTTCTCTTCTCTAACCATGTAAAATGTGCAATTCTACCAAATAAAAAAAAAAGTCAACCTATATCATTATAAAAATACAATGATCATGGAAAAAAAAACAAAAACAACCCAATGGTTATTCAATGGCCAGAAAAAGAAATAAAATGGCATAAAAAAATAAGAAAGGAGAGAGAAAAGGAAAGGAAAGAAAGAAAGAATAGGATGTCGAGGTTACACTTAGGCTCAACGCTTAGTACTATAAAAAAGATATAAACAAGATGAATTTATTGACACTTGAAAGGTCACCATTGAAGGATCTATTAGGTCACACGAGCTACCTGAAGATGGTGACTAGCCCACTCATTAGCACGTGTATGCCAACATTTTATCCATTTAGGTATGGCTTAAACAACTATAAAATTGGCATTTCAGACCTCAAATCAATCTTAACTCATATTAGCTTGTCTAATATTGCCTCGATGCATAACTTTATGCATTATTTTTGAAGTTTCTAAGAGTTACACAAACAAACTTTCCATGCATATAATTCTTTCATGCACAGATTATTTTTTCTATGTAGTGGAAGCACCACTTTTCTAGCCAATGATTATTTTCTGGTAATTTAACTAGCCATTATCACCACTAATGACATGCATGGCATAACCCTCAACTTTTCAAGAAAATGTTACCATGAATGTCTCCATCAATGGAAAGTATAGTCTAACATCCAATAATTCAATGTTGTGTGAAAATATTGTCCTTCTCTATAAAATAGGTTCAAAGAATTGGTTTATAAATACCTTAGTCGTAAGTAAGAATGCATAAGTCCTAGACTCTATACACAAACTCAAGAGACAAAAACAGTCTTACACATGATTTTTCTCCTTATTCTCAACAACTTCATTTTGTTTTCTCTTCTTTACATTATTTTCTCTTCCTATATTTATGAACTTAAACATCAGAATTTATTGTGTAAGTAAAAAGCCAACGGTTATTTTTTAATAGTGTAATTAACCAACATCTCTACCAACAAAATGTATAACACAATCCTTAACTTTCTAAGAAAATATTACCACCAATATATCCATTAATGATAATCATGACTTAACATCTGATAATTTAACTTCCTATGAAAATATTATCCTTTTCCATGGAATTCAAGGAATGGGTGTATAAATGCCAAGTCATAGGTAAGAATGCATAAGTCTTGGACTCCATACACAAATTTCATGAAAGAGAAATGGTCTCACAAGAATTTTCTCCCAATTCCCATTCTCATTCTCATTCCTAATCATTTCATTTTGTTTTCTCTTTCTTATATTATTTTCTCTTTCAACATTTATGAATTTAAACATATGAATATTCCTTGTAAGTTAAAAAAGTATTTTAAAAAAATCTAAATTAGAGATAAAAAACTTACATCACCTTGGACTTGGGTCTGACACACATGTCAGACCTATATCACCTTGGACTTTGTTGACTGCACTTTAATGCCACAATCTTCACCACATCCATAAACTTTGGACTCAAGATTCTCATAGGAAAACTTGTGTAGCAAACTGAGGCAACACTCAACCTTCCTAAAATAGAAGCTAGAGAATTGATGATCTAAACTCAAAAACTTTTGTGCTTAACCAGATATAACATTCTTTAAAGAGAGGTTTTTTAAACAAACTCTCCCATTAACTTTAGCTTCAAACTCCTCAATGACACAAGCATCTATTAACCTACATAATATCTAAAAGTACATGAAAAAAGTGAATATTACAATAAAAATAATTAGAAATAACCATGAAACATAATCAAGTTCAAGTGTGCATTACAGATAAATAACTTGCAAACCTTGCATTTCTCCAAGCTTTGTGACCTTTAGTTCCACTGTAACCAAGACCTTGTTTGATATATGAAATGAGAAGGGCTTTTAATAACATAAAAATTAGCATAATTCAATATCGTAACTGGCAAGATCAGAGACATTTTAAAGAACAAAATATGTAAGAGAAAGAAAGAGAGAGAGAGCATTTACCCTTTCATTGACTTTTTTAAGTTTGTCACAAATTAACAAAAACTCTAAATCTTGTGGAAATTTCAACGTAGTTTAGGAAATTGAGCTTGTTTATTTTTATATTTCAAAAATATTTTTGAAAAAAATGATTTTTGTAATTTTTTTTGTTTTAATTTTTTCTTTTGTGTTTTTAATCGTTTTGATTTGCTAATGTCAAAAATAAAATTTAAAAAATAAAAAAATTTATTTTAATATATTTCAAAGTGAAAATACTTTATAAAGTAACCATTATTATAATATTAAACGGGCTCATAGATTATTGTGAATTGTTACGATAAAATTATCATGTTGCCCCTGAGTGGAAAATGATGAAGCCTTGAGGGTAAGGGTGTTTTGGACTTTTTCACTAACACATTAGCCATTAAAAGATTACACGGGGGTGTCTATGTTTTTTTAAATTTTTCAACATGGTAAAAATAATCTTTTACCCTTAAAGTCAATAAAAATTAGAATTGTTTATCAAGAGCTTTCTTAACTTTTCATAAGTTTCTTAATAATAAAAATATTTATTTACTTTCAAGGGTCAAAAAAATTGTTAGGTTGCTAGATAAGGATTTTTTGAGGTTTTCAAATATCCATATACAATGAAAGTATATTTATATTTATCTTTCAAGTCATACCCTTTTTAATATATGATTTGTTTAGTTATTCTATTTTTGTTTGATTTTTGAAGATGTTATTATAATTTATTTATAATTGGTTTTATACAAATTAAATTTATTTTTAAAAATAAATAAAAAAAATTTATTTTTAAATAATATTATCAATGAAAAAAATATTTATTTTTAAATAATATTATCAATATATTTAGCCTTGTAATATTTTTTATGATGTGAGTTTATTTAATTAGTTTTATTTATATATATTTTTTAAGTCATGAGTTTGATTTATTTTTTATTAATTTAAATAAATAAATTTAGTAAATAAAATTAGATTAAATATCTTATTTTATATAATTGATTATCTTATTCTCTGTTCTTTTCTTATTTATTTTTTTTATTTTTTTAGATATTATATATATATATATATATTAAAAAAAATTATAACTCGGGACAAAATACTGGTAGATAATCCCTCAATACCACTTTGTCTTTACAAGAGGAATCCCCATCAAATCCATCCCTATGGACACCACACCACTTTCTTCCACACTTTCCTCAAACCTCTGTTGAATGCCCAAATGCTTTGCGTGGCCATATAAACACAACAAATTGGTCGTGATGCACACATCTTTCATCTTCACAACCGCAGGTTGTCTCACAATCAAACACCCTTAATCGACCAAATTTTATGCAATTCTCAACTCAATCATTAGCAGGAATTTTTATTTTTTTTGTAAATTTGGAAGGGAGAAGAACTTAGAGCACTGCGTTGATTGGAAGAGATTCCAGTAGACGTAGTGTCGTAAAGACCGACAAAGGAATCCCGAAGGTGCTCTTTGGCTCCAATTTTCAAGTAGAGCTTCTCGGCGTCTTCAAAACGCTTGATTTTGTCATCATCGGGGCTAAACGGCATGTCGTTCCCGGGAACAGTGAATTGAAGAGAAGGTATTGATAGGAGGTTTGTCCATAGAGAGGCTTTTTGATTGAAGGAGGAGTTAAGAGCTAGTGTCGAACAGAGAGAGGAGAGAGACACTCCAGCGGGACCATGGTAACAAATTTCTTCGAGAGCTGACGAGAAGAGTGCCCAAGGAGGCATGTGATGATTGAGTAGGACCTGTGTTTGGTTTGTGAAAATTTCGAGGATTTTTCTGTGGTTTTTCTCGGAAAATGAGCACTGGCGGGCGCGAAAAAGAGAGCGCACGCGTATATAGTAGGAGACTCGATGCGGCGTCGTTCTCAGAATGTTTTACAGTACATTTGTTTGCTTATACGTTTAAAACAACCACGTCAAAATAAATATTTAATTTATTTTTGATGAGGTCCTATGCAGTTCACATTTAAAACATAATTTTTGCCGAAAGGCTGTTTTTTTCACTGTTCAATGCTTTAAGTAAACAATACCTTAAAACAATACGAGTGAATTATATTGTTTACTTAAAATACTAAATAATTACATACATTTTTTTAGTACAATTATTTTTTAAATAGTTTTAAAAAAAATTTAATTTAGAATAAATTAATTTTAAAAAAAATTAATTTAAAAAAAATTAAATTCACCTATATTATGTGAATAATATTTTTTTAAAAAAATTAATATAGAATAAATTAAATTTATTTACATTGTAATATTAATTTTATTTTATTTAATTTTATTACAGTAATAAAATTATAAAATTTTAGTTCTTGTCGGATATATTTTTTATAAAATAATATTTTTAAATTACAATTATTATCACAATACTAAAATTAGACACGATTGCAGACAAGGCTTAGTGGATGGCTAGGATTCAAAACGGAGTAAAAACAAAGCTGGGCAGCGTTGCAGGGTATAAGAGCTTCAGTCATGAGCAAAAATAATTAAAAATCGAAAGTGCTGCTGGTGAAGCTAACGAGGTAAGCGGTAGAGAGAAAGAAAGAATCTATCAGACAAAACAAAACGTTATTTCTTTGTATGTGTGTGTGTGTGTCTCTCTCTCTCTCTCTAAATAATTCTTTCTTATTTCTCTGTCAATCAAATCTTTCTTCTATACCCTTCTCTCTCTCTATCCCTGTCTCTCTTCCTTTCTTTTGTTTCTGTTCGTTTTGGTTTTTCATGATTTCTGGGCCTTTCTTTGAAATCCCACAAAAGTTCCATTCGTCTTCATACAATCTTTCTCGAGAAAATCCAGTTTTTTCTTGAGAAAATTGACTTTTCCTTTCGTTGCCTCAAGCCCACTAAAATGTTTCTGCTTCTGTTCAAGGTATGTAGAGTCGATGACAACGACTGTCAGGATTCGATTTTTTTTTCCTCTCCTTTCCTTTTCTGCTTTCTTATTGTTTGTGTGTCAAGATTAGGAAGTTTTTTGAAAGATAATTTACGCCTTCAAGGTTTCTTTATGTGAGTCTATCTTGTAAAATATAAGCTGTGGACTAAAGTGTAAAACGTGAAAGTTTTTTCTTTTTGAAATTAGTTATTGGGGTTTTTTTCTTTTAATACAAATGACCTCACTTCCAATTTTGCTTGGTTGTTTCCTAGAAAGCTTCACGTGCTAGTCAAAAGCTTTTGCTTTTTGTTTTTCCACTTCAAGAAATATAGATCTCTCTTTCTTTCTCTCCCAGCTAATCTGGTCTTGTATTATTGTTTCTCTCAAAGATTATGTGAACTCATTATGATGTTTTTCTTGTTTTGTCGTGAGAGTAATTTTTTTCTTTATGGGTATTAATCTGGCATTGACTGGTTTGTTGGGGTCTTTCATAGTTTAGAGTTATCCTCCACTCATGGTCTTTTAACTTGGGATTGAGTTTTTAGAGAAAGGTTCCTTTTTGTGGAAAAAAAGCAGTCTGCTTTTCTTTTTAATGTAATGAAGTGATCAATACTTACACAGATATGCCTGTTTCATTTTTGTATTTTTATCTCTGCTCTTTACATTGTCTTTGATATGTTTGGTTGCTGAGAAAATGCTGGAAAAGCGAAAAATTGTGTATAGTCACTTCAAACCAAGCCCAATTATTGCATCTGGCTTTGTTTATTTTCTTTTACTGTTTTTCCTCATTAACCAAACATAGGCTAAATATCATTCCATGGCTTTTTTCTTATTCCCTGTGATTTTTATTGTAAGAGTACAGAGGGATCAGATAAAATAATTCAGTTTAGAGAGCTTTCCATTTAGTAAAACTAACCTTTCGGTTCTGTCTTGTATTTTTTTTCCCTCTGTTGGTATTTGATTCAGTTATTTTTATGCAGGGAAAAGGACTGGTTTTGATCAATTGAAGGGAGATTGAAATGGAAGGTGATTTATTTTCAGGCTTAAGCAATGGAAACCAAGTAGATGGCAAGGTCTTGCAAACATTCCAGAAGAGTTTTGTGCAAGTTCAGGATATTCTAGATCAAAACAGGTTGCTAATTAATGAAATAAACCAAAACCATGAATCGAAGATCCCTGACAACTTGACTCGAAATGTTGGTTTGATTAAGGAGCTAAACAACAACATTAGAAGGGTGGTTGACCTTTATGCTGATCTTTCGAACAATTTCACCAGGTCAATGGAACCTTCATCAGAAGGTGAATCAAGTGGGATATTGAAGACCAATGGAAAGGCCAATTCGAAGAGAATTAGATCCGGGTAATCAATTCAACTGAGCTTTCATAGAGATTCTCCACTTTATTTCATAGTAAAAAATAAGAAGAGCATTTTGATATTGGAGGAAAAAGAACTTGATGAGGTTATGCGTCTCTTCCTTGTTAGTGATATGTGATCTTGAGGCTTTTAGCTTCGGTGTAATTTCAAGCAAATCCATTGTAATAACAATTTTACAAATTTACATAAAGTTATGTGTAATTGTATCATCTTGTTGATCAATCTCAATTATGCATCTTTATTGCATATTGTATTTTCCAGGTCTTTCTAATTTTGTCACGTTTTGTTCTTAAGGAAAAAAAATCTGGATAGAAATTTTAATTCAACAATGCTTGATCTTGATTTGTTATATTTATTCTCTAATAAATTTGTTACTTTGTTCTTTCTTTGTTGATGTGCTGTAGATAGGATTCCTCATCTGTACTTATTTCCGATTTTAATAAATTGTTTAATTGACCATACCCTTATAACTCTGTGTAATTTAAGAGATAATGTGAGACATTCAAAGGCCACTTAGCTCTCTAGAGCTGCCTAAATCTGATTTGTCTGTTAATATTGATGATGATAATCACCATTTTCTGATCATATCTACTGATCTGCTTTTGATGGGAACTCTTACCTACCCGCTTAATTCTTTCCGGTGTTTGTCAAAAGATTCCTCATGATGTCCGGGGGGGCATTGCAGTGAAGGTTTGATGTGTTGTATACTGCTTAGAACTTTTGAAAAAATCCCCAAGGTCGTAAGTCTTCAATTTTTTTGAAGCTCTTGTCCTGAAAATTATTTCCAGCCTTTTTGACTTTGTGGGGGGGAGTGGGAACAGGAACTTCTGTTGTGACCTGGAGCATTATTGGCCTTTTGGTTGGTAGTTTCTTTGAGACAATTAGAGAAAGCAACTTTTTTTAATAGCTATCTGGTTTTGCATCAAGCACCTCAAGTTTAGAATCTGATGTTCTGGGTGAACATCCTTTTGACCACTAATTTGTCCCCATTAACAGTAATCTCTTGATTGTTTCAGTTTTCGTAAAGATTAATTAAGATAATGGAAGTTGCTACCTTAGGTTGCTTAAAAGAAGACATGAGTACTTCGAGAGAAAGAAAGATAAACAAGAGTTGAAGGGCCCAGTGAATCCCACAGCAGTGGAACCAGTTGAAACTTTGCTCATCTTTTACATGGGTTCTATGCTTCTTTCTTACAGATATTCTCTTCCCATCTCTTTCAAAGTTCTGATTTTGTAAATGGAGTTTCGCATTGCATACTAATGATGTCATTGCATTACATTACAGTCCCTTTTACCTTGATGACTCTTCCACAAACAATGACTGAAACAGACAATTTGATTGAAGTGCTTTTCTTGTGGACCCATTAACCTTTGCATTTCTGTATATTATTCGTGGAATCATTCATTAGTTTTCTTGGTTGGAATGGACATGAGGATGATTGCTGCAAATGGCTGGTTTTTTGGGTTTGATTTTGTCGCTTTTGATACAGTCATTTCCCCAATTATTGATGCAGCACAGGTAAAACCAATTGTACATATTGAATTAGCTAACCACTGCTTTTGTACCATGGTTTAAGTGCTCCTCTGAGCATCTTTTGAGTTGTTGTATCGTCCCTGGCTGCTCCTCAGGCAATAAAGGAAAATGTACAGAGTTTAAATCCATGAACAAAGGATGCTCGCATATGGGATGGATCTATTACGGTTGTTCTAATCAAACTGTATATACAAGAGGGCTTCAGAGAGGCAGAGGCGCGTTTTAGTGATAGAAATGAAAGAGTTTTGGGGGCTTTGGTCCTCGTATATTCGATTGAATTTTGAAAAGAAAGAGCAGTAGTGAGTGCAATGACATGAAGAATCTCCAAGGTGTTATGGAAAAGGACGGAGGAGAAGATTTTGGTTTTAAAAATTATGCAAAAAAGAAACCACCAACAACTTTGACATGCCCTCCATGGGAAGTGGGGCTGAAGGATGAAGGGAATCAGACAATAAAGAGAGATTTTTTTGTCTGCACTCAAACGTTTCCTTCGTTTCTTTGTTTGTGTAGGCTGCTGCATGTTGATATGATAAATATCCTAACGCTGGATCACTGCTGAAAAAGAAGAGGATGAGAATGAGATGCTGACCGCTGGTGCAGGTACCCTCTTATCTCCTAGGCTCGAACAAGCTGCAAATCCTGAGTGGCAACATCTGAACTCTGATCCACGTCAGGCCACTGAATAAAGTACATAGTGATATAATTAGCTTTTTAAATTGTTTTTTATTTATTTATAAATATATTAAAATAATATTTTTTATTTTCTTTTCTAATTAATTGTATACGAGAAAAATAATGATATCAAAATAATATTTATAAACAATTTCTGGGAAACAATTTCAATAGCTTGATGACCACTTATCTCTGGGAAACAATTTCTTTTATTTTCTTTTTCTAATTAATTTCTCGTATTCATTTTGGTTGCCTTTTTCATTTTGTCCTTTTCAAAAAGACTATATCTTGCTTTCACTGAAATTGAGACCCCATTAGACCATAATACGTTAACAAAAACATAAATTAAATAATTTAATATCATGCTTGTAACGATTTTTGTTGTTTTCTTGACTAGGTTGGCCGCCGCAATGGCTGCCGCCTCCGTCATTTTCCGTTGTTTCAGTGGATTGGAATTGTTATTTTTTAAAATATTTTTTATAAAAAAACATTAAAATTATTTTTTATTTTAAAAAATTATTTTTAATATTACTGTATCAAAATAATTTAAAAACTAAAAAAATTAAAATTTTAATATACACAACTTTAACCGCTTTTCTAAATATACCTAACCCTACCTCTGCCAATGAGCTACTCGCGCAGGCACATCAGGTTTTCTCGTGGCGCATTTTAGCAAAACTGTTTTTTATGCGTATGGTAGCTGTGCTTTTGACAGCAGAACTGTTTTTTAAGGAGTTATTTATTAGCTTTGCCATTTTAGTGTTTGTTTGGAGGGGAAGTTAATTGTTTTTTTTTGGATAAATAGTATTTGTTTTTTAGTTTCCAGAGATATGATTGGTGTTTAAAAAGTATTGTATCTTTAAAAAGAAATTATTACATATCCAAACCAAACATACTTTTAAATAATTGTTTTTTTTAGCTGAAAATTCTGGCAATAGCCTATCCGACAGGAAAGTCAAGAATTTTGATTTTATTTTTTAAAATTAACATTTAATTTTTTAATAAAAATACTAGCATGGGATCCAAAAAAATAGCATAGTTAGGGAAATATCGCAGTTTTCAGTGGTCGTATTTTAGAAATAATAAAAATGGGCTTTCATAAACTCTACTTAGGAGAGAGAAAAAATGAAATAGGATATCATTAGTAGCTTTCTTTGATGTTTGTGTATTAATCTCGTTGATTTCAGAGAAAAAATAAGAACCCAATTTTCTGATTAAAAGAAAAAATAGTTTTTTTATATTTTAAATTTTTATTGGGTTTGGAAACCACTTTTTAGGGATTTTTTTTTATAGATTTCCAATGCAAGTTTTCCACTTTTTTCAATGGAAAAAATATAAACAATACAATTTTTTTATATTTTCATATTTAGTTGGTGTTGTAAATTTAATTTTTATTATAAATATAATATTAAAAAATAGTTAATAATATAACTTCTTCATGATAGTTTTTAAATTAAAAAAATTAATATTTTCTAATTAGATTGTCACATATAAAAAACATTAAGATGATTATTTTAAATTATAGTTTTGATTTTTTATTAAAAAAAATAATACAATTGAAATTTTGGTTTTTTTAAAAAAAATGATCGTATTTTTAATTTTTTATTGAAAAAAAAAGAAAAATAGTTTTATATTACTAAACACAACACTAGTTACTTCAAGAATAGATTCTTGGAATCAAGGGGTTTGCTCCCTCTATAATCTCAGGTTCGAATCCTTGGTTGCTTATATGATGACCACTGGATGCTTATATGGTCGTTAACTTCATGGCCCGTGGAATTAGTCGTGATGCGCGCAAGTTGGCCCGGACACCCACGTTAATCTAAAAAAGAATGGATTACATGGGTGTTTGGCTTTGTAGCAGCTGTTGCTTTTTTTTCAAACTCAATAATATAATATTTGGTTATAAATTATGACTGTGTTTTTACGCATGGGCCCCATAAAAAATAAGATGAAATCATAGGTTGAGTTGAAGTAATTTTTTCATGTTTCTTTCTACTGTTGCTACTGCTTTGTACAATGAAGAGTAAACTCTCTACTGTTCACTTAATTAAGTGAACAGTGAAGAGTCTGGCTAGTTGGGTTCTGTTCAAAATTAAATGTATTGAATCAGGTTTGATAAAAAAAATAGTGTTTATTTTTTTTAATTGTGTTTTATTTAAAAAATTAGAAAGAGATTACTTGATGATATCGTATTTTTAGAATTTGATTTCAATCCCAATTTTATTCTTGTTGGGTTTGATTTGGTTAAAAAAATTAATTTTTTATTTTTACTTTTAATTGTGTTTTATTAAAAAAAATTCGAAAGAAATTGCTTAATGGCATAGTATTTATAAAATTTGATTGCAACTTCAATTTTGTTCGTGATGATATCTTACCTGATGTTATCATGCGCTTAAGAAATTATGAAAAATATAATCCTTGTTGAATATATTTTATATATTATGAAATTTTACATAATTTAATGGAATAATAAAAAATATTTAATATTAATATTATTTATTTTATTATGTAATAACAATAGTTAAATTTACAATATTTAAATTAAAAACTATTGATATTAATAAATATTTTTTTAATTATTTTATAATCTCAATTTAAAAAATATTATTTTAACCAAATACAATAAACTATTTTTTTATTAAATTTTAATTTTAAATATAATTTAATTAAATATATATTTTTCTATCTATATATGAACACGATGACATAAAAAGAGTGACTATAAAAAATAAGATGAAATCATAGGTTGAGCTGTTCACGTGAACAGTGGAGTCATTCCTCACGTTTCCGGCCAGTTTCTGTTCAAAATTAAATGTATTGAATCAGGTTTGATAAAAAAAATAGTGTTTATTTTTTTTAATTGTGTTTTATTTAAAAAATTAGAAAGAAATTACTTGATGATATCGTATTTTTAGAATTTGATTTCAATCCCAATTTTATTCTTGTTGGGTTTGATTTGGTTAAAAAAATTTAATTTTAAATATAATTTTAACTAAATATATATTTTTCTATCTATCAACACGATGACATAAAAAGAGTGACTAGTG